ACGTTGAATATTGTATGAACCCAATGTGAATCAAACATGCAACCTTCTTATCTGGAGTTACATCCACTACCGCCACAGATCCCATGATTATATAACTAACAGTACTATCAATGGTTCCAAAACGAATTCAGATTCACAAGAGTAAAACAAAATTTGTACCTAGTTATCAAGTGCACATTGAACATTGAATGAACCCGACGTGAATCAAACACGCAACCTTTTGATTTTGATCTGGAGTTAGACACGCTACCATTGCGCCACGGATCCCAAGATTATATAACTATCATCACTATCAAGGTTTCCAACTCTATTCAGCTTGTCTAGTAAAAGATGCAGCAGTATTTTAAACTTGACATTTGTAAAAATGTCAAGCTAAACAGTGCCCGTTGAATATTATACGAACCCAATGTGAATCGAACATGCAACCTTCTAATCTGGAGTTAGACCCACTACCATTTCGCCACAGATCCCATGATTATATAACTAACAGTACTATCAATGGTTCCAAAACGAATTCAGCTTGACTAGTAAAAGATGCAGCAATGAATTCAGATTGACAAGAGTAAAACAAAAGAGTAAAACAAAACTTTTACCTAGTTATCACAAGTGCACATTGAACATTGAATGAACCCGACGTGAATCGAACACGCAACCTTCTGATCTGGAGTCAGACGCGCTACCATTGCGCCACGAATCCCGAGATTATATAACTATCATCACTATCAAGGTTTCCAACTCGAATTCAGCTTGTCTAGTAAAAGATTCAACCGTATTTTAAACATGAGAATTGTAAAACATGTTTTTGAGCAAGCTAAACAAGTGCACGTTGAATATTGTACGAACCCAATGTGAATCAAACATGCAACCTTCTTATCTGGAGTTACATCCACTACCGCCACAGATCCCATGATTATATAACTAACAGTACTATCAATGGTTCCAAAACGAATTCAGATTCACAAGAGTAAAACAAAATTTGTACCTAGTTATCAAGTGCACATTGAACATTGAATGAACCCGACGTGAATCAAACACGCAACCTTTTGATTTTGATCTGGAGTTAGACACGCTACCATTGCGCCACGGATCCCAAGATTATATAACTATCATCACTATCAAGGTTTCCAACTCTATTCAGCTTGTCTAGTAAAAGATGCAGCAGTATTTTAAACTTGACATTTGTAAAAATGTCAAGCTAAACAGTGCCCGTTGAATATTATACGAACCCAATGTGAATCGAACATGCAACCTTCTAATCTGGAGTTAGACCCACTACCATTTCGCCACAGATCCCATGATTATATAACTAACAGTACTATCAATGGTTCCAAAACGAATTCAGCTTGACTAGTAAAAGATGCAGCAATGAATTCAGATTGACAAGAGTAAAACAAAAGAGTAAAACAAAACTTTTACCTAGTTATCACAAGTGCACATTGAACATTGAATGAACCCGACGTGAATCGAACACGCAACCTTCTGATCTGGAGTCAGACGCGCTACCATTGCGCCACGGATCCCAAGATTATATAACTATCATCACTATCAAGGTTTCCAACTCTATTCAGCTTGTCTAGTAAAAGATGCAGCAATGAATTCAGATTGACAAGAGTAAAACAAAAGAGTAAAACAAAACTTTTACCTAGTTATCACAAGTGCACATTGAACATTGAATGAACCCGACGTGAATCGAACACGCAACCTTCTGATCTGGAGTCAGACGCGCTACCATTGCGCCACGAATCCCGAGATTATATAACTATCATCACTATCAAGGTTTCCAACTCGAATTCAGCTTGTCTAGTAAAAGATTCAACCGTATTTTAAACATGAGAATTGTAAAACATGTTTTTGAGCAAGCTAAACAAGTGCACGTTGAATATTGGTATTTTAAACATGAGAATTGTAAAACATGTTTTTGAGCAAGCTAAACAAGTGCACGTTGAATATTGTACGAACCCAATGTGAATCAAACATGCAACCTTCTAATCTGGAGTGTGAATCAAACATGCAACCTTCTAATCTGGAGTTAGATCCACTACCATTTCGCCACAGATCCCATGATTATATAACTAATAGTAATATCAATGGTTCCAAAACGAATTCAGATTGACAAGAGTAAAACAAAATTTGTACCTAGTTATCAAGTGCACAATGAACATTGAATGAACCCGACGTGAATCAAACACGCAACCTTTTAATCTGGAGTTAGACACGCTACCATTGCGCCACGGATCCCAAGATTACATAACTATCATCACTATCAAGGTTTCCAACTCTATTAAGCTTGTCTAGTAAAAGATGCAGCAGTATTTTAAACTTGACATTTGTAAGACATGTTTTTGAGCAAGCTAAACAAGTGCCCGTTGAATATTATACGAACCCAATGTGAATCGAACATGCAACCTTCTAATCTGGAGTTAGACCCACTACCATTTCGCCACAGATCCCATGATTATATAACTAACAGTACTATCAATGGTTCCAAAACGAATTCAGCTTGACTAGTAAAAGATGCAGCAATGAATTCAGATTGACAAGAGTAAAACAAAAGAGTAAAACAAAACTTTTACCTAGTTATCACAAGTGCACATTGAACATTGAATGAACCCGACGTGAATCGAACACGCAACCTTCTGATCTGGAGTCAGACGCGCTACCATTGCGCCACGAATCCCGAGATTATATAACTATCATCACTATCAAGGTTTCCAACTCGAATTCAGCTTGTCTAGTAAAAGATTCAACCGTATTTTAAACATGAGAATTGTAAAACATGTTTTTGAGCAAGCTAAACAAGTGCACGTTGAATATTGTACGAACCCAATGTGAATCAAACATGCAACCTTCTAATCTGGAGTGTGAATCAAACATGCAACCTTCTAATCTGGAGTTAGATCCACTACCATTTCGCCACAGATCCCATGATTATATAACTAATAGTAATATCAATGGTTCCAAAACGAATTCAGATTGACAAGAGTAAAACAAAATTTGTACCTAGTTATCAAGTGCACAATGAACATTGAATGAACCCGACGTGAATCAAACACGCAACCTTTTAATCTGGAGTTAGACACGCTACCATTGCGCCACGGATCCCAAGATTACATAACTATCATCACTATCAAGGTTTCCAACTCTATTAAGCTTGTCTAGTAAAAGATGCAGCAGTATTTTAAACTTGACATTTGTAAGACATGTTTTTGAGCAAGCTAAACAAGTGCCCGTTGAATATTATACGAACCCAATGTGAATCGAACATGCAACCTTCTAATCTGGAGTTAGACCCACTACCATTTCGCCACAGATCCCATGATTATATAACTAACAGTACTATCAATGGTTCCAAAATGAATTCAGCTTGACTAGTAAAAGATGCAGCAATGAATTCAAATTGACAAGAGTAAAACAAATTTTTTACCTAGTTATCATCAAGTGCACATTGAACAATGAATGAACCCGACGTGAATCGAACACGCAACCTTCTGATCTGGAGTCAGACGCGCTACCATTGTGCCATAGATCCCAAGATTATATAACTATCATCACTATCAAAGTTTCCAACTCGAATTCAGCTGGTCTAGTAAAAGATGCAGTAGTATGTTCAGTTTGACAAATGGTAAAACATGTTTCTGAGAAAGCTAAACAAGTGCAAGTTGAATATTGTACAAATCCTATGTGAATCGAACATGCAACCTTCTAATCTGGAGTTAGACGCACTACCATTGCGCAACACATCCCATGATTATATAACTAACAGTACTATCAATGGTTCCAAAACGAATTCAGCTTGACTAGTAAAAGATGCAGCAATGAATTCAGATTGACAAGAGTAAAACAAAACTTTTACCTAGTTATCACAAGTGCACATTGAATGAACCCAACGTGAATCGAACACGCAACCTTCTGATCTGGAGTCAGACGCGCTACCATTGCGCCACGGATCCCAAGATTATATAACTATCATCACTATCAAAGTTTCCAACTTGAATTCAGCTAGTCTAGTAAAAGATGCAGCAATGAATTCAGATTGACAAGAGTAAAACAAAACTTTTACCTAGTTATCACAAGTGCACATTAAACATTGAATGAACCCGACGTGAATCGAACACACAACCTTCTGATCTGGAGTCAGACGTGCTACCATTTTGCCATAGATCCCGAGATTATATAACTATCATCACTATCAAGGTTTCCAACTCGAATTCAGCTTGTCTAGTAAAAGATGCAACAGTACTTTAAACTGGAAAATTGTAAAACATGTTTTTGAGCAAGCTAAACAAGTGCACATTGAATATTGTACGAACCCAATGTGAATCGAACATGCAACCTTCTAATCTTGAGTTAGACCCACTACCATTTCACCACAAATCCCATGATTATAGAACTAACAGTAATATCAATGGTTCCAAAACGAATTCAGCTTGACTAGTAAAAAATGCAGCAATGAATTCAGATTGACAAGAGTAAAACAAAACTTTTACCTAGTTATCACAAGTGCACATTGAACATTGAATGAACCCGACGTGAATCGAACACGCAACCTTCTGATCTGGAGTCAGACACGCTACCATTGCGCCACGGATCCCGAGATTATATAACTATCATCACTATCAAGGTTTCCAACTCGAATTCAGCTTGTCCGCCACGGATCCCGAGATTATATAACTATCATCACTATCAAGGTTTCCAACTCGAATTCAGCTTGTCTAGTAAAAGATTCAACAGTATTTAACTATCATCACTATCAAGGTTTCCAACTCGAATTCAGCTTGTCTAGTAAAAGATTCAACAGTATTTTAATATCATCACTATCAAGGTTTCCAACTCGAATTCAGCTTGTCTAGTAAAAGATTCAACAGTATTTTAAACATGAGAATATCAAGGTTTCCAACTCGAATTCAGCTTGTCTAGTAAAAGATTCAACAGTATTTTAAACATGAGAATTGTAAAACATGTTTTTGAGCAAGCTAAACAAGTGCACGTTGAATATTGTACGAACCCAACGTAAATCGAACACGCAACCTTTTGATTGGGAATCAAACGCGCTACCATTGCGCCACGAATCCCTAAAATATATAACTATGATTACTATCAAGGGTTCCAACTCGAATTCAACTTGTCTAGTAAAAGATACGGCAATATTTTCAGCTTGACATGAGTAAAACAAGTTTTTGAGCTAGCTAAACAAGTTCTAGAACAACATGCAACCTTCTTATCTGGAGTTAGATGCACTACCATTGCGTCACAAATCCCATGAACAAATTCAGCTTGACTAGTAAAAGATGTAGCAATGAATTGTAAACAATGAATGAATTCCTAACGTGAATCGAACACGCAACCTTTTGATCTGGAGTCAGACGCGCTACCATTGCGCCACGGATCCCAAGATTATATAACTATCATTACTATCAAGGGTTCCAACTCGAATTCAGCTTGTCTAGTAAAAGATGCATCAACATTTTCAGCTTGACAAGTGTAAAACAAGTTTTTGAGCTAGCAAAACAAGTGCACGTTGAACATTCAACGAATTGAACATGCAACCTTTTACTCTCGAGTTAGATGCACTACCATCTATTTATAAAATTCACATTCAACATTGAATGAACCCGACGTGAATCGAACACGCAACCTTCTGATCTGGAGTCAGACGCGCTACCATTGCGCCACGGATCCCAATATTATATAACTATCATTACTATCAAGGGTTCCAACTCGAATTCAGCTTGTCTAGTAAAAGATGCAGCATAGAATAAGTTTTTGAGCAAGCTAAACAAGTGCACGTTGAATATTGAAGGAACCTAATGTGAATTGAACATGCAACTTTCTGATATGGAGTTAGACGCACTACCATTGCGCCACAGATCCCATGATTATATACCTAACATTACTATCAATGGTTCCAAAACGAATTCAGCTTGAGTAGTAAAAGATGTAGCAATGAATGAACCCAAACGTGAATCGAACACGCAACCTTCTGATCTGGAGTCAGACGTGCTACCATTGCGCCACATAACTATCATTATTATCAAGGGTTCAAACTCGAATTCAGCTTGTTTAGTAAAAGATGCAGCAACATTTTTCAGCTTGACAAGAGTAAAACAAGTTTTTGAGCAAGCTAAACAAGTGCACGTTGAATATTGAACGAATCCAATGTAAATTGAACATGCAACTTTCTGATCTAGAGTTAGACGAACTACCATTGCGCCACAAATCCAATGATTATACAACTAACATTACTATCAATGGTTCCAAAATGAATTCAGCTTTACTAGTAAAAGATGCAACACTGAATGAAACCGACGTGAATCGAACACAACCTTCTGATCTGGAGTCAGACGCGCTACCATTGCACCACGGATCCCATGATTATATTACTATCATTACTATCAAGGGTTCAAACTCGAATTCAGCTTGTCTAGTAAAAGATGCAGCAATATTTTAAGTTTGACAAGAGTAAAACAAGTTTTTGAGCAAGCTAAACAAGTGCACGACCAATGTGAACCGAACATGCAACTTTCTGATCTAGAGTTAAACGCACTACCCTTGCGCCACAGATCCCATGATTATATAAGGGATTATATAACTAACATTACTATCAAAACTTTTACCTAGTTATCACAAGTGCACATTGAACATTGAATGAACCCGACGTGAATCGAACACACAACCTTCTGATCTGAAGTCAGACGCGCTACCATTACGCCACAAATTCCATGATTATATAACTATCATTTTTATCAAGGGTTCCAACTCGAATTCATCTTGTCTAGTAAAAAATGCAGCAATGAATTCAGTTTGACAAGAGTAAAACAAAATTTCTAGCTAGTTATCAAATGCACATTGAACATTGAATGAGCCCGCCGTGAATCGAACACGCAACCTTCTTATCTTGAGTCAAACTCTCTAACATTGCACCACGAATCCCATGATTATATAACTATCATTACTATCAAAGATTCCAACTCGAATTTAGCTTGTCTAGTAAAAGATGCAGCAATATTTTTAGCTTGACAATAGTAATATAAATGTTTGAGGTAGATATCAAGTGTAGATTGAATATTGAATGAACCTAACGTGAATCCAACACTCAATCTTCTTATTTGGAGTCAGACGTGCTACCATTGCGCCACGGATGACGAGTAGATTCCTTCAGCTTGACGAGTAAAAGATGTAGCTTAAGCTAGCTATCAACAAGTGAACATTAAATATTGAATGAACCCGACGTAAATCGACCACGCAACCTTTTGATCTGGAGTCAGACGCGCTACCATTGCCCCACGGATCTCATGATTATATAACTATCATTACTATGAAGGGTTGCAACTTGAATTCATCTTGTCTAGTAAAAGATGCAGCAATATTCTAAGCTTGACAATAGTAAGACAAATTTATGAGGTAGAATCAAGTGCACATTGAATATTGAATGAACCCAATGTGAATCAAACACGCAACCTTCTGATCTGGAGTCAAACGCGTGACCAATTCACCATGGATCCCATGATTATATAACTATCATTACTATCAAGGGTCCAAATCGTATTCAACTTGACTAGTAAATCGAATTCATCTTGACAAGAGTAAAACAAATTTTTGAGGTAGCTATCAAGTGCACATTGAATATTGAATGAACCCAACATAAATCAAACACGCAACCTTCTTATCTGGAGTCAGACACGCTACCATTGCGCCACATGTACCATAAAAAATAATAAGAATTTTGAACATTAAAAAGCTTGTATTCATAGAACATATGGCGTAACATAGATAATAAATAAATGGGAGTTAATATGATTCCAATTGCCACTACCAAAGTAATTAGTATTTTTGTCATTAAAAGATATTTTTGGCAGGTAATTATTCCAAAAAAGACTATTAATTCTACAACAAAACCGCTCATACCCGACAATGCAACGTGAATCAAACACGCAACCTTCTAATCTTCTAGAGTCAGACGCGCTACCATTGCGCCACAGATCCCATGATTAAATAACTATTATTACTATCAAGTATTCCAACTCGAATTCAACAAGAATCAAATTTTTGAGCTAGCTATCAAGTGCACATTGAATATCTAACAAACATGACATGAATCAAACACGGAACCATCTGATTTGGAGTCAAACCCGCTACCATTGCGCCACGGATCCCATGATTATATAATTATCATTACTTTCAAGGGTTCCAACTCGAATTCAGCTTGACTAATAAAAAATGCAACAAAGATTTCACCTTGACTAGAGTAAAACAAATTTTTTGAGCAAGCTACCAAGTGTACATTGAATGAACCCAACTGTGAATCGAATACGCAACCTTATGATCTAGAGTTAGACGCGCTACTATTGCACCATGGATCCCATGATTATATAACTATCATTACTATTAAGGGTTCCAACTCGAATTCAGCTTGACTAGTAAAAAAATGCAACAAAGCATTCATCTTGACCAGAGTAAAACAAATTTTTTGAGCTAGCTATCAAGTACGCATTGAATATTGAATGAACTGAATCGAACACGCAACCTTCTGATAAAAGATGCAGCAATGAATTCAGCTTGACAAGACTAAAACAAATTTTTGATCTTGCTATCAATGCACATTGAATATTGAATGAACCTGACGTGAATCAAACACGTAACTTTCTGATCTAGAGTCAGATGCTACCATTGCACCACGGATCCCATGATTATATAATTATCTTTTATTGTTTTTTCAAACATAAATATACTTTTTTTAGTATTTCATAAATAGTTTCTACCTTTATAATATTTTATCTAGTATTTAAATTTTTAGAAAAAAGAAATTAAGATAAAAGAAACATTTAATAACGGTAAATCGAGAACCGGTTCCATGAGCCAACTATATCATTCGGATATTTTGAACATCCATCCATCCAGAGCAGCCACATATACAAACCTCTTTCTCAAAAGCGAGGGAGCAGTGTCAGCATGCTGTTTGATACTATCTTCAAAAGCCCTTTTTCAAAGGAAGACATCCAAGACAAAGGATAAGGTTTGTTCATGTGTTCTCTTCATTCAATTATTGTTTGTTCTTGTCCTTCAAAACTTTAATAACTTTGATACTCACTCGTAAATCTATTGGAAAAAGAAGAAGGAATGTAAATGCAAGTTTAGAATTGGGGAGGTTGAATATGAAGTCGTGTATGAACTCTTAAAGTCCGAACTCGTACCCACAAGTATTACACTAAAAGTCGTGTATGAACTCTTAAAGTCCAAGTATTACACTAAAAGTCGTGTATGAACTCTTAAGGTCGGAACTCATACCCACAAGTATTACACTAAAATAAAAGAATTTAAAAATAAAATCTCTTAAAAAAAAAAAAAAAACTTAAAAAGTCAATTCAAACCTAACTTAAAACCCTAAATTTCATGCATGATTTTCACACATGAATAAGACTTCTTCGATATTCTCGTCTTCCACTAGGTTGACTTTGACCTTTTCTTTTTTTCTTCACAACTATTTTGAACATGTTTTCTTTCTTCAACGCTTGAGTTTCAGTCTCATCGGCCTACAATAAAATCTTGTAATTTTTAAATGTATAAGAAGGGAAGTCAACGAAATATTTGTTAGATTTTGACAGAAAATAGTTAAAATAAATACCTAAATATACAAATTCTTCCAACAATCTCTTCCTTGAACTCATTCTCCTTTGTAAAAAAACTAGTTCAAGTCACAAAAACTCTTGCGCACCAAGTTCTTCACCCAACTTCTGAAATGCTTCTAATTTTAGAGGATTTGTCAACGAATCAACAAGTTGATTTCGGTGTACCATAAAATATTAAATTAACGGTTCATTCTTTTGTAAGATGTCACGACCTGATTTTCGAAGCTTCGAAAAACCGCATCGTGACTAAAAAGACGAAATCGAAGACAAACAAAAGGAAAATAAAAGAAAAGAAAACCAAAGTAAAAAGATAAAAATACTTTGAATTAAAACAAAAGAGAGAAATTTTGTTTCTTAATTATTACAAAAGAAACTGCAAATATAAAATGAAATACAAAAGACTCTAAAAGACCGAAAAGGGATTGACGCTCCGGAACGACCCCCTC